TCGTTACAAGCTTGTTGCACGTAAATTGTAAAGAAAATCTAATGACTAGTCTTTCTACAAATAAACAAAATCGATTTTAAAGGCCTTTTTATTTTTAGTGTTGCCATAGCAACGGCACATACGTCAGCTTAACCATCAAAAAACCAAAGTTTGTGTTGTTAACTTGCTTGCTGCCAGTTTTGGCGACCGAGAGATCAAGGGTTTTAGAGAAAAAGGTGAATGAAACACAGGTGCGCTGGCATTTCTTGGCTTTGCATGTACCTTGAAAGATAATTAATCATTAACTTTCTTTAACATTTCTTTCATTTGGCCATCATTCTTTGAGCCAGGATTTGCTGTGATATTTGGATGCAGTGATATGCATATTGTGTTTTTGCAGATGTCCTTGTTTTGCTCAATTTATCCAGTCAGAAGCTTCAATCTGATTCAGTTTGAAGGAATTTAAAAGCTTATTGGTAAAATTTCTTTAAAGGTTCTTGTGTCGAGTAAATGATCAGTATTTTATGGGAGCTCCATTTTTAAGCCTGCATGGCTAAATCTATATTCTATTCATTTGCAATATTGAGCACATAACTGATTTTACCCACAGCTGATCACGACAAGCTAATGCCCTGTAAGTCTCACTTTGAGCACTTTAAAATGGTTAGAAATTATACAAGTATCTTAGTCAATGCTATTTAAAGTTACACATTTTACCACATTGGTTTAGACTGACTTTGGAGGACTGATATCCTCTGTAGCAGATCCTTTTAAAAGTGTGTTTGTAAGCATTTGACTACTGCCAAATTGACTGTAACTCCCATATCTAATGTTATTTTCAAAGGTGAAACTAAATAATTAAAGTGACCTAATGCTCTCTGATAAATCTTTAATTTTTCTTCCATTTCTGAAAGCTCCCCATGGGTTAAACTACTGTACATCTCTCCAGTACTACTGCTAGATGACTTTTCTTAACTTGACATTGACAATTTCTGTTTGGGTATTAAATCATCGTTGATGGTTGAGAATCATGCCAATAAACTTGTGTGACATTTTATTTCTAGATTGGCACAATTGCTCAAGGTTTATTGCACTTGTAGTTGAAGCTACTGAAGCTATATATAGAAAAAATTGTTTATAGGACAGGAAAAATTTCAAATATTTAAAGTGACTTAATGAAGTAAAAAATAATTGCTACTTATTTGCAGGCTTTTCAAAGTAAAGAAGAATAGCATTTTCCGTTTTGGAATATCTTTTTTCGTTTTAGAGATAATTTAAAAGAACACTGCTTTTAATTAATATCTCTAGAGTTATTCTCGATTGAGTGTTGTGCTATTTTAGTGGAACCACCTACAGTGACATCGTCACTTTCCTCATTTGCATAATACAAAACATAAACATCTCTGAAACAAAAAAAGATATTTCAAAAAGGAAAACGCCATTCTTCTTTGCTTTGAAAAGCCTTTCAAATAAGCAGCATTTATTTTTTACTTCATAGGAACTTTAATAGTTAATTGACACAGCTCTAACATGATATGGATTTAGCATTTGAATGTCTGTGCTGAACAGCTCTTCCGCAGCGCATCCTTTACAAATCTTCCTCAATCACTGTTGTAACAATTCCAAAACAAGACTTGAAAGCTTGAAGCATTTGTATAGGCTAATTGGCCCTATGAAATGGACTTCGTTGGGACTTTCTACTACACTCCACAAAATCATTTGTTTGATCTTCCAATGTTTTCACTCATCATCGAGTAATACAAAGAGACAAAAAGAGAAAGACAGACTTTGATCATCGCAAAATTCCTCACAATCATTGCTATTTTGCCTACCAGCAGAGCAGGCACGTACCATCAGTAACTAACTCACATCAAAATACTCTCTGCGAGATTTTCTGTGAAACACGCGCAAACAAAATGCCACTTATGATGCTCTGAAAATCAACAACAAACATTTTGTTGATCTAAACCAGTGTGTAGTCTGTTATTGTCTAATGGCTACTCCGCGCTGTTCATCTTAGACACGTCACTGAAATCAGTTGACTCTGAAGGCCTGGGAGAAAACATTACAGGAACCAGGCCAGGTGTAGCCCATTGCAGATATTTGCCTGTCAGTTAAAGGCCATTCACAACAGTGACTCGAACTTAATCCTCACTTAAGATGGAGAGGTGAAGAGAAATCAAATTGCCTACTTCAAATGAGTAACTGTGCTTTGACACTGATAATAAAATATTGCGTTCAAGTAGTGTAATGCAATCCGAATCCAGTTTGTATCAAGAATTTTTCGGATGTATTTGTTCCCAATTTGCCCCCCAGGACAGAATGTTCTGTGGTTCAGAGACGGCAAATGGCAAAATTTACTTGACCCTTCAACCTACCCTGGGCTGAATCAGACTTTGGTTTTTTCCTGCCCTGAGTCTTATCCCACATGTATTGTGAAAGAAGGTATAATATAAAGATTTACCATCACTCAGAATGCATTTATTATTCTCAACATTAGCTGCTTCATTATGTCTTCATATGAACACGATGACTTTCCCTGTGAGAGTGGACCATAATATTGCATCCAAGCAGTCTTTGTAAAACCCACACATAGATATGGGCAAATTTAGACAATTATCAAAATGGCTCTGCAAAATGAAGTTTCCTCCTATACTTTATCCAGATTATCAGAATAACTCAAGAAAATTTGCCAAGGACTTATAACATAATCTTCAATATACATGTACTTCTTCAAACACATGGTTCTTTGACTTGCACTAGAATCATGGATTCTAAGTCAACCATATCATCTTTAACCCAACATATTCAAAGTCATTAATCAAAGCTAACCCTTTTATCTTATCCTTTCCTTTCCAAACGGAATTATAATTTTTTTTAAATTAAGCATCTAATTCAAGTACATGTAACAGAAAACAGTTTGCCTCGTTATCTGGTACATGTACTAATTGACTGATTACCAAACATATGGTGTACCACTCCACAGAGGTCAGTTCTCGGACGACTTCTATTTCGTTTGTACATAAATTATATACCTATATGCTCTAAAGATGAATCTCAGTATCTCCAATAGTATCTATAAATCCAATGCTTATGTTAAATATTTGGGAATTATTTTTTTATACTAATCTGAACTGGAAAGCACATCTACATGAAC